TCGTCAACGACGTTGCAAAACAAGCAACAAGCCAATTCACTTCGTGAACTCGGGAACCAGGTTACCGTTTTTGTTTCCCTCTGTTTTTTTGTGGCGGTAACTATAATGGTGGTCGAGTAGATCATGTTGTGTGGGGTCGAGAACCCTCACTCCGCGCCAGGGGGATGATCGCACCACGTTGTGTTAAAATGGTCAAGCACCCTCGAGGCAGTTACACAGTGCTTACAACTGTCTCTGGAAGTGAAAGCACCAGAAAGTAAATTAATTCATACGCAGCTGTCATCCGTACGCAAGGAAGTAAGCACAAGATGCCGAAAACCCTTAGCAGGATGCAGCGCACCCTTCATGCGACTCGCCGAATATCTCACGGCGCTTGGCGCTTGGTGATGTGAGAGCCTGGTCCGGCGAGAACCCGGCATCATGCTCCGTCCCGGCTTTGTAGGGATGCGAGGTCAATGGTCTAACGACTACGGCATGCACGACTCTCAGTACACCCCCCCTCCCCCCCCCTCATGATCATATGTGTTTTCCGGTTGTTATCCGCTGCTGCTCTCTGGGTGCAGACGAGGATGAGCTCATCGTGCCGCAGTCGGTGGAGACTGGGGACACGGTCAAGATGAAGCAGATCATGGACGATGCCGTCATCAAGGCCGTGAGTGCGCATTTGCCAACTGTAGAACACGTTCGAATAAGAAGTCGGTAGTGGACGCCCCGCAAGAACGCCGGTACCGTATATGACACAAGATAACACACCCCCTGGACAGATTTTCAAAGCTCGATCACTCCACAACAAAGAAGATGAATAAACGAAAAGGCACATTTTCGGAGATCTCTCGTTGCGCACCGGGGTGCACTCGTGAAACCGACACAACCAGAGGTTCTTGGGTGTTGGCGCCTGCTGTACCGTGGCATATCGGAACTGCTGCCCGGTTACAGAACCCTGCACTGTTAATTTAGTTGGTTGTGTTTATATGTTTTGGTTGTTTTTTCATTTTTCAGGTTTGTATATTGCTGAAGTTATATTATGTTTGTTGCTTCTTTTTTTTTAGCTCACCAGGTAGGGAGTACATGAATAGCCGGTACCAGGATGGATTGCTAGCCCACAGCAGTGACAGTAAGAAACGAACCTCGAACACAACCAGAGGTTTGTATGTGGTGGCGCCTGCTATACCGGCGAACAGGTGCTGGAGATGGGGTACGAGGAGGACCACACCCTTAACAACGCCAAGCTGGCCGTGATGGCCCTGGCGTGCGTCTTCGCGGTTACGGCGCAGTTCTGGCCGCAGCCCTTTCCGGAGAGCCGAGCCCTCCTCGCAGTCTGCTGCTTCAGGTGTGTGTGTGTGTGTGTGTGTATGTGTTGGATTATGTGTACCCATTCCAAATCCTGGTGTACAATTAGAGCATAATGTTGGTTTTACACTATACCCCACAAAGTCCTACATGTTTGTGTGTTTCTTGTTAGCATCGACCGCGCTAGCCGACTGACTGGCAATGAAAATATATCAGTCTCAGCGGGGTAGATCACAAGATGCTTCTGAAGGTCACAACCTGGGACCCTGTGACCGAGGGTCATCGGGGATTCTACGCCTCTCTGGCTTGACGACAGATACAGTAGCAATTCATGTTACTGTCTCTTCAGGTACATTGTCTGGAGGCGAGCATGCAAGACACCACTGCACGTGTTTACCATGGCTACTGCTACTTTGGACAGTATTTGTTTGTGTCTGAGTTTCTTTGCTGTTAGCGTCGACCGCCCTAGCCGCCGCCTGCTTCGTTAGGTGTGTGTGTCGTGTTTTGTGTGTATTTGTGATGGGTATCGATCGCGGTAACCGCCTGCTGGACAATGAAGATACGTCAGTCTCAGTGCTGCTGAAAACAGAAAATGATTTTAAAGGCTGTGTGTGTTGTTTGGTCATTGTCGTTGTGCTTTTCCTTTCGTTTTATTTCTCGACGCTCTTCCCGATCTCGTTGCTCGATGGTTGTTAAGTCTTTCCGTCAGTCACTCAGTCTGTCTGCCTCTCTGTCTCTCTGTCGGTCTCTCCTCTCCTCTCTCTCTCTCTCTCTCTCTCTCTCTCTCTCTCTCTCTCTCTCTCTCTC